CATTGTGAATATTATAGTCCACTATCATATCCATCAATAATTTCAGCCGGTTTATTTGTTAAACGAATAGGAAAATCATCTGTTGATTATCAAGTTGGAATATTTGAAAATAACAAATCTTTAAAAGCTTCAGCTGTTGGTGGTTTTACTAGTGTTTTTGTTGATCGAATGAATCAACGTCCTCATCCAATTGATGAACAACTGAGAAAACAACTTTTATCTATATCAAATATAATTCAATGAAAAAAATATTTATATTTAACGGATTTTTTTGTTGTACAAGTTGAGCTGTAGTATAAAGTCGTGTAATATTTGTAGATTTTCTTTGTTATAGTTTTTGATTCGAAGAATAATTTGTTTGTTTTAGATGAATTTTTAATAAATTGTTATTCGTTTTAATTTGGTCAAAAATAAAGAAAAATATTGGTAAGATAAAATTGTCTAGAATGAATATGTTGAGATAGTTTCTTGTCAAGTATTTCCAATAAAATCTGTTATTTTGAAGGTCTATCTCGATTTAACCTTGAAAGATAATGAATAAAGTTTTAATTATTCAAACCGAGAGAGAATTTCAGTTGTGCTCAAACGAAAGATTTGTTTTGTGAAATCGATTTCTCTTTATTATATATGTTCATTTAACATTGATGATTACACATGAACAATGTTTTATATGCGAAATATCTACATACTACTCACTAATCGATTGCTCAATTTAGAAAACTCTCATTCCATATCTGTGACTATTGTGAATGGATATGGAGACCATTTTGGGTTGATATCAGGCCTTGTAGCGGCCCTGATTCATCCTGATTTTTGGTGCTTTTCGAAACTAAGAAATTTCTTCAGAAAATTTTGGTTCAGTCTTAGTGGAGGCGTTTCAGAAATTCTGTCTTGAACTGATGAAGATACTGTTTTTTTTCAACGATCGCATTATTCATCTTATTTGAAGAATAGATAAAGTTTTTTATGAACTGAAAAATGTGAGGGGCTACCGAGATTTATTTTTTTAGGATTTATTTCTTCTATGGGATTTATTACCTTTATTAAGATTTTCGTGCATCTTACTCAATTGCTACCCCCTCGCCTTCATCCTCACTTGCGTCTTCGCCAACCCTCAAGATAGTGCGGGATTTATTTAAAAACGTATATGGATTTATTAAAAAATCCTAAAAAAAGAAATCCCGGTAACTTCTGCGGGAAATGGATAAGAAATGAATATCAGAATCAATATGAAATCACAATATATGTTGTTGTTTATCATGAGAACAGAATTTCTTTGAGATGTAGGGAAGAAGAAGATCACGATTTTTAACTGTAGACACCAACATATATTCATTTCTGAAGGGCTACTATGATTGGATGGTTAAGTTGTTTAGCATGTATTAGTAAGATATTGTGTTCAAGACTTGCCGTTACCAAACATGGAATAATCCTAAATAAATCACTACCAATTGTTTGCCTGGAATAAAGCATATGAAATATTTTATGACATATCCCGACCATTGTAGCTAGTATGTGCTTAGTCCTCGTAAATAGGAAGATCAATTGATTGACGGAGCGAAAGAACTTTGAGTCAGATCAATTTCTTGTTTAGAGCTACAATTTTAAAAGTGCAGTTTAACTGGTATATTTGTTTGAAATTTCATAGTATGATAAGTTTCTCTGATTCAGCTTTTCTGACACTGAACAAATGATTTATTGTTTACGATTATTTTCAAAGACAGTGATATTCGTCGTGTACAATTTCGTATTTTGAAATATCTCGTTTCATTAGGCAGTCGTATGAATCATTATCTTATTGATGATACTTCAAATCATTTAATTAAAAAAGCTGTAGCATGGGATAATGACAATCATATAGCATTTGCTGTACCATTGGGTGACATAAAACCTACCATTCATCTTGGTAATAAGAAACTTTCTTTTATAATCTTTTGATTTAATTTAGATATTTTTCTACCTCGTATTGTCTATCTAGCGTTACATAGTTCTGATGGTCAAACAAAAATAACTGCATGTAAATTACTTCAATCAATATTACTTTATATGATTGGAAAAAGTGCAAATAATCGAAGCAGTGCAGCAGTTAGTTTCTATTTTTGTATCATCAAAAAATGCATATTGATTCTTTTTGAGCGTGGGTGTAGAATTTCTCGGTATGCCAACACCCTTTATGAAAAAGGGACCGTAAAAATGTGTCCACTATAAGGAGATGTCTACTATGGGAGGTTTTGGTGTAATTATACTCTTAAAAGTTACAATAAAAATTTCTGAAAAAATACCAATTTACCAATCATTTCATAATGAAAGAGAGCATCAGCTGAATGTTAACATTAAACTATTAAACAATGTGAAAAACAGCATCTCCCTCTTTTTAGCTGATTGCCACACATATGAATTTTTCAAAAAAAAAGAGGAATTTTTAAACTTCAGTCATCCTTTACATGCGTAACAAGTTGAGACTTGAATTATTTCTAATTTTCTTTTTTGTGGATGGTTCCTTTTTCAATAAAAGTATTACAGTAATTTGAAGTTCTTAATGCACTATCAAGTGATTTTATGTTCAAACTTTCACATAATATACTATTGAGAAATACTGAATTGAAACACGAATGTTTTCTTGCGGCACTGTTCATTGTTGGAAGTGGAAAAAATGTATGCGAAAACAAGATGCTTTTATAGGAAACTTGATTGTCACCTCTGAAAAATCGAGCTTGCACTGCTCATTCATTTAAGTTATATTTCTTGAAAATATTTCACAATATTTTGGAATAATACCTTCTTATTTCAACCATTTTATGAGATCATTTATTAATGAAGTTGTAAAAAAATAAGGGAACAAAATGTTTGATCAGTAAAAAGGATTAAATGATCAGTAAAAAAAGAGATAAATGATCAGTATAAAGATTAAATGATCAGTATAAAAATTGAACGATTAGTACTAAAAGTATCAGTAAATAATAAGAGAATGATCAGTTTATTATATATAATTACCAGTAAAATGTACAATTTATTCCAGTAACAAATACAAATTTGATCAGTATAGTATACAAATTTTATCAGTAGAAAAATAAGTTTTAACCGTATTAAATAAAAAGTTATCAGAAAAAGAAATTTAAATAATTAAAGAACAATCCAAAAGAATATTTTATAGAAATCTAAAGAGTGAGTGTGAAAAGAGTAAATGAATAAGCATTTTCTTCCAAAACTTCATCGGATAAATTGCTTGTATATAGTGCAACCTCTACCATTTTCATTTCTTTCATTTGTTAAAATTTGAGTAATGATGAGCAAGAGGATTGAAGTAAAGAGTTTATATTTGTTAGTATTTAACCTCAAATTCAGTCCAATCTTAGATTCACTTAGGTCAACCTGGAGTCTCATTCTGGACTAGTGCAATGCCAGATTTGGAAAGCAGTTTTCGTTAAAGCCTTCACTAGTGGTTAGATAAATATTGCATTGGAATAATATTGCTGAACTAGATTAAAACGATGGTATTCCGACATTGTGATCATCACTGAAGAAACGAAGTTAAGACACGAACACTTATAGATAATTTTCTATAACAGCTGGTCTGCTATAGCAACCTATTCGCAAGTTCTAGAACCCTAAATTAATTTCTCTATCGATGATTATATTAGCTGAAATGTCATTTTTTCAAAACAGTTCAGTAAGAAGTATTCCAAATTAATAACTATCTAGGGCCAGTTAAAAGTTTTCACAAAAATCAGCTTTTCAATCTGACATTTGACCAGGCAAATATGAGAGTCTCATATTGGCTAGGTACATCTGAAATTGGATTGACGCCGAGATTGGGCACTAATATATATACGTTGCACTTGTTATCTGTACGACATAGTTGAAAAACAGAAAAAATGAACCATACTATAACACATTTGAATTTTTATGCTCATCTTTGTATTTAATTTACTGTTAATTAATTATATTTACTGATTCTCAAATTTATTTACAAATCTTATCAATGAATAACTGATTATCGAAGTAATTTACTGATCAATTATCCAGTTTACTGATCAATCATTCGATCTGCTGATTTTATAATATTCTAACGTACTGATCATTTCATCTATTTTACTGATCACTTAAATCTTAGCCAAAAAATAAATGATACAGCAAAAAACTAGAGAAGCGTTTTACCACCATCCTCAGTAATGATGGTTATAAGGCTACTTTACACGCAACGTATGCTTACATAGAAAACCACAAGAGACAGAGATGAACACAAGAAAGAATAAAGGAAGCTAAGCAAGAGGTGATGTCAATCAATATTAGTTCATATGATAGGTTCAAGATTGCTCCTTGCAACGTAGCACTTTACTCAAGTATGTTTTATAATTCTAACCAACAAGGGAAAAAATATATAAACAACACGTTGAAAAAGAAGTGAAAAGATAAAGCAGTTAAGTTTTGATTATCTCTTAGCCAGTGATTCCAATAACGAAGCTTAAAGAAGATAAATAATAATGGTGTCAAATGCCGTCATATTTGTGTGTTGTTACATATGTGCATTTATTTGAAAAATTTTTCATATAAATGTCAATATTACATTCTTTCTTACATTAGTTAGTGTATATTTCAAATGAAATTTCTACTACGATTAGTGTTGTATCGTCAAGATTATGATACAACATTTACTCATACAATACGCTACATTTTCATCGAGTCAAGTCCATGAGAAGCTTCCAATAAATACTCACAGTGCGACGACGATGAGTAAGATTTGAATTCATCGAGTATAAAATAAAAACTAAATTTCGATTTGAGTCACTAAGTATAAGCAACATGTCCGCTATATGAATAGTACAAAAGTTCATTTGGCATATGGAATATGTATTCATTCAAATATAAATCTTTTGTAGGAATAATTCTTAAATGTATATGAAATAGATCGGTTAACATCTGCTTTTTTTTTGAATGATGATAAAAAACATCTGTCGCATATCGGTAAAGGATTTATTGAAACCTGACGACATACGTACATGTACTCTGCTCTTTGCGAATTGATTCATTTTGATATCGAGTTACTAAGGGTTTGTCAAAATGTATTTTTATGTTTTACTGCATAAATATATTATCTATATTAATGTTTCTGCATAATTTATTAACAGAAAACTAACATGAGATACACACATAAATTACAGTTTGTTTCAGAATCTCAAATACTTATTTATCGAGACATGAAAATAGATTGTTTTTATATATTGTAACAAAAAGTCATCCATTTTAGATTATATACTGATGACATCATCAAAATTTGAACAGGTGATTTCAGAAAAAAGTCTGAAGTGTAATAAATATAATCGTTTGAGTTATTATTTCAATTAATATGAAACAGAATCTGCTTTTTTCTTTGCCACAAAGAGAAAGAACATTGCTATCCATGACTATTTTGTAGGTTTTATTCAATCTTCGACTAATAATATTCGCAGAATTTTTGTTCCTATCCAGAATTCGGAATAAAAGTACTTTTGATTTAGTTCTATGCTATAAATAACTCAGCTGATAGAGTAGAGAGAGAGAGAAAGCAGCCGTGTAAGAGACTAGGGAGAAGTAGCAACCTTTTATGCTTGAAATTATTTTATGTCACTGACAGTTTCTGAAGTTTCTCGGAGTTGAAACTGAGAGAGTGAATTTCTTTAGAGTCAAATTTTGAGGTTAGAGTGTTTGACTGTACAGGACTCTAATTTTCATCATTACAGTCATACTTTAGTACTTTACCATATTTGAAATTATTTCAATACACTCTGACCTACTGTTGGACTTAACTGTATTCTTTGACTCAAAGTATACTGTTTCTTCTTGTTAAATCAATGCATTCGCTCCTCAAAAAGTTTGAAAACTGAAACTACAGACTTCTTATAAAAGCATGAAAGAACATACTAGGCTGAATATTTTTTGTGATGTAGCTGTATCTATTCTAGATGTAACCAAGAAGAATTATGAATTAGAACCCTTTAGAAACCTACTGAGAATACCTAGTTCTGTCATACATGCTCTTGTATTCTGTCTAAAATGTTCTCTCTTATGTCCATTTCTCGTTCTTTCTTCATATGAATTTCGTTTTTTTTTTAATGAAACTTAGAATTATTCCACTTATTTTGTAAGATTGCACATCTACTACAACTGTATCAATGATATCAACACCATTTGTCGAAATACACAATGCTGATGAGCCATTTTTCTATTATTTAATGCTTACAATGCCATTAGTTGCTCTTAGCGCTTATATCTATGATGCTTGTGCCTTTTTCTTCATGAATGATACACCAGCTGGTCTATTTTCCTCTGTTTTATTTATATTTTATTTTCTACAGTATTCCGTTACAATGAATTCCAAAGTAGCTTTAACAATATACGAAGTTGTTATTTGGTTAATGGTAACGACTGGTGATGCCCTATATATATGTTACTATTTACGACAGAACAATCGAGTACAACAAATAAGATATATAGGATATATCTGCTTAGATTCCATATTTAGTTTAACGTTATGGATTTGTAAAATGGTGGCTCTTTGTAAAACACATGATCAAGGTTGTAGGTGTTGTAGACAAATATTTCATTGTTTGCACATTAATCCTAATATTCGACCACATATTAAAGTACATCAACGACAATTTTTCAGTTTTGTTTCACGTTTAGAAGCCATTTTAGCAACACTCATACCAATATTTTTTAGCGATAAAATCATTCGGACAACATCGGCAAATATTAGCTTTTTCATTCTATTTGACTTTTTCTATGAATCGTATCATAAATTTTCTTCTATATGGATCAAACTTGGCTTATATATGTTTGTGAGTATTGTAACTGCATCTATAGCAACTGAATGGCTTTATTATGTGAAATTGGAACTTATATACTCGCAAATTAGTGGTATTTTAGAACTCTTAGCTGCTTCTAGTTGTTGTATACTTATTATAATGCAATTTTTTCCTTATCATTTCCGTCCGAAATATAGACAAGTTGAAGAATAAAATTTTCAAAAGACTTGTTTAGTTCTTGACCTATGAAAGTACCAAATGGGCCTAAATATCAATTGTTTGAGATGGAAGTTCGAAGCATTATCAGATGTATTCTGAGGGCGAGGATGAGTAAAAAAAAGTATTCTAACACTTATGAAACAATTTTTTCTCTTGCAAAAAGATTTTGACAGATAGTCTTATTATTTCAACATTTTTCAATAGATACAGTTCAAAAATAAGATATGACGGTAATTTATTATATGTAGATAAGGTTCTTCAGAAGTATTTTCTTTTCAATTTGATTCATAGAGCAATTAATATCAAGCTTCATAAATTTACAATTAAATAATGTCAAGAGCCTGTCGTAAACCGATCTTGTCACTCACGTAATAGTTTGATCGATTCATTTCTGTTTTTTGTCTAATTTTTAGTTGATTTTTTAAGTTAATGTTGTGGAAGTTAACATTTTCCATGATGCCTTTGTCTTGACTAATAGTTTATCTAAATATCGATTCATTCATGTTTCTATTTTGTGGATGTGGGATGGGGGTGAACGAAGGGGAGATTAATATCCATAGTCACACTTCTTCACACTCACATCCTACCATGAACAATAGTAGCAAAGACTATATGTATATATATGCTAAGCGAGAATATGTTGAATAAAGCACTTCTTTTCTTTTAGTTTATATGATATATCTGGAACAAATACCTTTGTTCTAACTGAGAGTGTGGATGTCAGTGAAAAGACAGTTCATATTCTCATTCTATATGCGATTGATAGAGTAGATATTGAACCTAACATTTCTATGATTCCAATTAAGAACTTCGCTCGTAGTCAATAATAATGAAAAATAATTAAATTTCTTTTTGAAAATGAACACTGATGACTGCATTTTTATTTTGATAGCCGAAGACGGTTGAAATCATCAGTTTTTAATATAATTGATTAAAGAGTACAAATAATATTATGACAATTTTCATTAGATTTTCAATCATATTTCCCCAATTCTTATTGAACACATATGACATTGTCAAACATAGTTTAGAAAAGCCTATGCACAAAAAAAGAACACTTTTGAATAATTAAATTGATTTTTTTACAGACATTTGAAGTTCTTGTAAGCAGTAGCTATTGATGATAAATGTTTGTTACTTTACTATCGTTCTCAAATGTTCAATCGGAAATCACCAAGTACAATTGCCTAAACTTGTCGATCGTAGCAATTCAAATTAGAAACTCGCCTATCAGATGCACTAGTATGGATTCATAATTCTTCTTTAGCTTTCTGTTTTATAAATGCAGATAGCTGTTTGCTGTCTGTATGAACTAGTGTGCGATCAACACGCGATAGATATTCATTAATATATAATGGTCTAAAACCATGAAAACAGTAATCGTATGTATCACGATGAGTATGTTACATATTGTTGAATAGCACTTGCACTTGTCGACACATGCGAGAAGCACTGATGCTATGAATAATCGATTAGCGCTTTAATAGAGATCATTGAACAAATCCGAATGAAATAACTTCTCTTATATTTCTTAACCATGGCACATCATTGTAAAAAAATAATAAACAATTACTCTTAACGTTTTAGAGAAAGTGGCAGTCCTAACAATGATCATTTTGATTACAAATTATGACGGTATCATAATTAAATATTCTATCAGGTTAATGTCCGATGTTGAATCATATCGACATACTCAAATTTTACGTTATGTACGAATTTATCCGTAGAGAAGAAAAAGAAAAGCATAAGAATAAATGTGTTCATCGAAAAATAATTCCTCCTGGTAAAGATGAAGTATTCCTTGAGATGCTTCCTAACGATCTTCTATTTGATAAATTTAAAAAATACCTGAAGAAAGATTCTGGTTCATTATCAACCATTTTCGATTAAAATATTTTATTATATTTCATTTCTTATTAACATGAAATCTCTCTAAAGTTAGAATTGATTATTTGAAATATTTATTACATAGAACCAAATGAAAAAAAGGAACACACTTATTCATCTTTTTCTAATTTGTGTATTCATTAATCAGTACCATATTGTTAAAAAACTTCCATAATTCATTCGTGCATGCAGGTGTGGGTGCGGGTGTAAGTGTTGGTTTTCTTTTCGTTTACATCCACACTCACACGTACACCCACACCCATACCTTAAGTGTGTCGGTGTGTGACTATTTCTTCTTTTTCGACACCCACTGATACTCAAACCCATCCGCACCGACATCCACACCCACACCAACACTCACACGTACACGCACACCCCCCTAGGAGGCATTGCACGTAAGCCACGACCAACGTTGCTCAATCAATGTCACCGATTTGGCTGATATTTTTATAGTAGGTAGGCCTAAGAGTCTTAGGAAGAAACTGAAAATTTCAGCTCAAACGGATGAGCCGTTCTGGAGATATAGACGATACAAGTATGACGGGGTAGGTCCCATTTGGAGTACTTTATAGTGCAATACTTTTCAGTAAATCTCTATTTTCTCGAGAACAACAAGAGATGCAACTGAGATTTTTTTACCATAAATACTATCAACGATGGGCTATATTTTTATGGTAATAAAAGTATCTCATCACTGTATGATTTTTGCTTGACATTATATACCATTTTCAGAATACATTCTCACGTAGATGCGGCAAGCTGGTCGGATCAGCGCGCTAGGACAAATCGAGAGTAGTCTCATCTGAAAGAGCACATCAAAATGCATCGACTGACGTTTTCAAAAATTTGTGCAATTGAACTTTGGTAGCAAAAATTTTTTGAACAAGACTAGAAAGG